TGAGCCATCAAAGTTTTTTGTGTGCATCACTTTAGTCCCTAAAGATTAATAATAACAAATTGATCCTCCAATGCTCAAAACACAAAGCATGCTAGTCAGTCTGATAGGGAACTTTTGTCATGTTTGACGACCAATGTGCTCACACCTTAAATCTTGGCTGACCAATTTATCATTTATTAATTTTGACTAAAGTGGTGCCTATGAAACTTTTGAGGATCTACTTTGAGTATTCACTCTTTTAATGATGCGTCATTTCTTTTATGGTATCAAAAGCTTATATATGTTTGTATAAAAAAATCTTTATAATATATACTAGTATTAGTAAAATAGTGTGTATTTAATTTCTCTGACATCCTTTGCTCCATGCAATATCATACCAATCCAGAAACAGAATAACTGAATTCCAGTCTTTTGCATTATATGGAGACAAATAATATTTGTTCTGTTAACAAAGAACTCTTTGACTAGGATAATATTTCTACTTCCACGTTTGGGCACAAGAGCATATGCATAAGCAGCTAGAAAACAATATTAATGTTTCGCCTGAAAAAAGAAGCACTCAGCTAGGACTTACAACTAGAAGGCTGCTCCCTAATTTATTAGCTTATTTACTTATTTTGTTATATCTCTTTTGCACTGCATTAGAACAACTACAGCAATATTTGATTCGAAGAACAACTACAATAATATAACAATCCTGCAAGAAGCTAAATTATGGCAAGGGATAAGATGAATTTACCATGTTCTTTTAGAATTGCTAGTTTGCCCCTAAAACCATGAGAGCAAAAGCAATAACAATTTGATTGAGGACTGACTATAGTCTACACACATAGGTGTCATATGCAAAAAAGACAGTCCTTAATGAGCATGAACATAAAGAGAATCATAACTGCTTTGATAATGTATATCTTAAAGAAGTTTCTGCATACTAAATAAAGGAAATTATCCCGATGAATATACAATAATAATTTCTAGTTCACAAGAAAGGATAGTTGGAATAATAAGTTGAGAATCAACCGTTATGATGTACTTATCTGTAGCATAATTCCAGAATCTTTAATCATAAATTCCTTCTTACATGTATTTTATGGAATGAATTGTTTTCTTCATTACTCATGACTTTTAGTTAAAGGATATTTCAAAGGTGTATCTAAGTCTATTGTACTAAGGGGCGCAACACACACTTCTCATGATCTGATGCACTTCTATAGTGTTGATTTTGTTTCCGTTTTAGGATTATTTTGATCCTCCCCATTCTGTGTATTTCTTTCCACTCAAGATGAATTACTCTATTAAATAATTAATCAAACAACAACCTGATGCACTCAATCATTAGGATTTCCCAAACACATAAAAAGACGTGAAGGCAAGAAAAAGGATGTGGAAAAGATGCAACTCTAATGGCCAAATCAGTTTTCCATCAATTTAAGCTGCAGAATTATGATGGCTGGTGATCCTTAAATGGAAACAACCCCTACTTATTGTAACCGTGTACGGAAACTGGAGTAGATCCCTACTGCAAAACATGATTTAAAAAAACGATGATCAAGTGAATTGCAGCACAAAATGTATCTGGTGATTTTAATTTTTTTGCTGCTGGGGTAGCGGAACCAGACTATGGATCATTACAAATATAGAGAAGCATTTCAAATTTAAACTCTTTAATACCTGATAGAAGCTTATTTTCTTCAGTTAGTATGATTTTTGAATCCACATTTGAATTAAGATGTAATTTATATGTTGTATCTATGTTCCTTACTCCATTTGAAACCAGCTAAGGTGCAACTCTACTATCTTTTCTACAACATCATATACCCAAATTTTCTCTCTAATGCATTAATTCCCAACTTTTTGCTACAATAAGATATTGATTCTTAAACACTATATTATGTATCATAACATGAAACACCTTCTTTATTTCCCACAATTCCCATATTATACTTAAAAATTATAGCATTATTAAATCAAAAGGAAAAATACAAAAATGAAAAAACTAAAAGATTAAAGGTATTGGTTTAACATAGAAGAAGCTAATCTGTAATAAAATGCAGAGTTGAGTATTAAAATAATTAATTATAATAATCAGGTAACAGATAATTACTAATTTATGTAGCTGTTGAAAAGGTTTTGGTTCTTAATACTGACAAAAAACATGCAGAAGAACAATAAAGTTATTAAAGCACCAAATAATAATGAGATTGAACATAAAATTACGATTAGGCAAAACCTTGAAGAGGAAATTAATATGAAGAATCAATATTTGAACGCGAGCGATACTTGACCGAATCAAAAATGGCGTTGTTGATTGAATGACGGTTTTGACGAGAGAAATGAGAACGGCACCACCGTCTTCCGCCGCCGCCGCCGACAACAACGCAACCGGTATTCAGATTCAATAACCTGTATTACCTATTATGTGTTGATAGGCTAAATTAAATTAATATCAAGTATTAGATTTTATTTGACTGAAAGATTTTAAATTTATTATTCTCCTAATATCTATACTACTTATAAAGGCAAAACACAAAATAACTACCATCATGGTGTAATTTGTGTTTTGTCTTATTTGTCCTCATTAAATTATAAATTCTACCATAAAAATCATATATAACTCAATGTTATTTTGAACATGCCAAATAGCAAAACTCATATACCTTCTGATAAGAAATAGGAAAGGAAATGAACATGGTTCAAAAACTTGGGTGCTAATTTGATATTTAATCCACAAAAGTCACTTGCACAGAATATGATATTTAAATATGGCCCAACCAAAATCAGTGTATTGTCTAAATCCTTCATTGAACTCTCTAGATAGTAATCTTAGGATTATAGTCAGATATAATATAATATAATTGAGTGAAGTAATACTGTTGTTGTATGTAATATGGTTATACCTCATTATTTTATAATTGTTGTGTCCTGTCCATTAAAGTAGTTTTGGAACTACAATTAAAACTGCATCTTATTTTCAACTGCCAATTGCAATGTTAATCCACTCCTATTAATTGGTAACAACACTCCAAAAGTAATTTATTATTACTCTACTCTATCACTAACATCACTAATTCATTTTTGGAAGTTTTACACATTTTATGTAATTCAAGAACATGTTTATGCTCATGTTGGATTACAATTTGTTTCAATTGATTCAATAATTTCTTCCAACTTTTAGTGTTTTTCATCTCTTCCTTTTTTATTCTTTTGTTTTTCTCTCTTCTATAACCAATTTAAAATATCTTAATAAGCAATATCACACAACAACTTATGTTTTTTTTGTGTGCAGATTTCAATGCTTAATCAGGGACTGACATCATACTACTGCTACTACTCATCTTCATTTTGAATTTGTTTTTATTAGTTTCACAAAATAATTTCTTCTAACTTTAAGGTATTTCTCATCTCTTATTTTTACATATTCTATTTTTCTCTATTCTATTACCAATTTAAAATCTCTTATGATCATTAAGTTACAACAATACTAAACTTCTGTTTTTATTTGTTGTTAATTCAAATTGTATATTGAAGCATATTCTAGGGTCTGCCTTGGAATTTTTTTCATCACAACCCATAATTTCTTTGGAATATCATGTATTTGGCATCTGCTTCCTTTCTATATTAATAGTAACGGTCATAACAATGTGTACTAATTATTATCACAATCATGGTTAAAGATTACATATTTTTAAGTTGTTATTAAAACTCATACTTAGTCTCTTATACTTTTTAATGTGTAGTGATTAAAAAATTGTGATCACGTATCAACACTGAGTTTTGCTTCACTTATCCTGATTTCACCACTAAGGACAATGTTCATTATTTGGAGGGAATATTGTTAGAATGTAAGAGAAGACTCTGCTTTAGACCGTTTAATCTAGGAGGAAGAGGAAGCATACAACGAAATAGTCTATTTCAGAATTCACACTCTTCCATAATGAAAATAATTCATTCATTAAGTAATTAATTGCAATGTTCCCTTTTTTGTATGGAGTCTAATTTATATTGTAATTTTTTATTGGGATTAATTTATGTTATATTTTTTATTATAATGTTTAATTTAAGGTGAGATGGTTAATATATGAAAACTATTATTCTAATTATTATTAAATATTCATTTTGTATAAAATAAATGTTACATACGATAGGAAAGCGGATTGAAATAAATTCTAAACCAAGATGAGCATAAATGTATTCTTGATTAAGATATTTAACGTGGAAAAACTCATATTTTTATCTTCAAATATTGTATTCAATAGCATATAGTGGAAGGTGTATCTATAATATTTTCTGATTGAGGTAATGTTCTTCCTAGAAGGTGTATCTATACTATTGTCATGTTCTCTTGAATATTGTTATGATATAGAACATAATTTTAACTATGTAACTGCCCTTGATTAAATATATTCTAATTTGCAGTTAAATATATTATTTTTAACATTATCCATCAAAAATATATTTAACTACAAATTAGAATATATAACACAATTATGACATTAAATATTCATTTTGTATACGACCCAAAGTTACATACGATAGGAAAGCGGGTTGACAGGCCCGACACGCTAGTAATATATAATATATTATGATAATTATAATTGAGTTTTATTTACTTTTCTGATTATTTAATGAATAAAAAATTCATTTACTTTCGCAAAACTAAATATATTCTTTAAACAATACCTCTGCTACGTAAACATTTCCGTAGTTTTAATTATTAACTATTATATTTTGATTTAACTATTACATTTTGATTTTTGGACTTGAAAGATATATATATATATATATATATTAAATTGATTGATTTAATATATTATTATGTATAATTTAAAAAATGTGATAATGATATATATTAAATTGAGTTTTAATAACTACGTGACAAATATAACTAATTTCTTAATTTCCTTTTATGTTACAAATATACTTTCATTTAGTCCTCACAATTGACGGCAAACTTAAAAAGCCACCTTCAGACGTTTTATGCTTAATCATTTCGGATAACGCTTGCATCCTCTGCCTTACTGTGGTTACTGGCACAAAGTTAGTTGATGCTTATTCTCCAGACATCATCATTGCTTCTTCTCAGGGAAAAGAAGTTCATGACCCGTAGGCCTTCTACCTCCACGCGACATTGCTCTGTTCCCCCATTAGGTTTAATCTGTTAAATTGGAAGAGATCTCTCATTAGGTTTAATATGTTAAATTGTTAGGTTGGTTCAAATGATACCATATATAATTAATAATTAACTATAAATGTTTTCATATTTTGGGTCGACTAAAACAAAACGTTAAAGTAATGTTCTTCATATTTTAAATTTTAAGTAAATTGACCGGTCAACAACTTCCACGATTTTTTCGGTTAAACCATGTCTAACGACCAGTTCATAATTTCTCTGGTTAAAAGCATTACAACTCTTCATTCGGTTATAACTACAAAAAATTATTTTTAGTTCCAATCAATAATTGAATAGGTCGAACCGCCTTGTCTTGTTCTCACAATATTGCTAGGAAGGGTGATGTTGTAAGACTAAATTATTCACAACTTAGAAATAGAGTTTGATGATTTGATCCAATTTTCTTATCTTGGTGTATTATTGGAACATGACCAACATGTACTATTTCATTAAGGAAAATATCGACTCCTATTATTAAATCCAAATAGAAATACTCAGTATGATTTTATGCATTGTGGAAGGAGAACTTATTGTCGAAATTTGATTTAAGGAAAATGATATATCCTCCTACTAAATCCTCCTACTAATCTTCCTACCCACAAGAAAGTGACATGTCACAAAGTGATACTTTTTTTATTAGTGATTAGTTTACAAGTGACATATATCACTTTTTTGTGGGTAGGAGGATTTAGTAGGATGATATAGCATTACTCTTGATTTAATTTAGAAGGAAGTTGAGAGAGTTAAAAGTTAATTAGATTCCTTTTTACTATGTATATGTTAAGAGTAATGAAAATTTATTTGTAGAGGGTTGAAGATAGAATGAAACAACTTGCTTATAAACAAACATATTGTTGATTATAGGCACTTTCACTCTCTGGTTCATGCTCTATAACCTATTAATACAACCTTCTATCAAAACAAGAGCCATAGGCACAAAGTGACCTTGCTCCCACGATCCACTGTCATTCAACCCTTGTCGCTTCGATTCGACCACCATTCATTTGTTGTAACTCTTCACCATTACCGAAGATGAAGGACGGGATTTCATAACAAAGAAAAGGACAAGTCTTAGTCACCATGCCAACCTCACTTCCACACCACTGCCACTGCCAACTTCAACAAATCTTAGAAATCAATGCAACAATAGAGAAGCTATCCCTCCCCTTATCACATCAAGGCATTTTCTTTCTTTCCAGAAAACAACATGGATACATAAAGAGCAGTGCAGTCTATTACAAAATCGGATAAGAAAATAAATGAATCCATTTATAAATTTACCCGATATTTCGATACATTGCTTGCTATATATAGTCTTGCAAAAACATAAAAGAAAACTCAAGAACAAACAAGATCAACAAAAAATACCAAGTAAAGAAGGAAGTTCAGAAATCAAACAGTATTTACAGTATCAGTTAGGAAACGTAGAATGCAACCCAGTCCTGCTTTTTCAGTCAATTTCTCATGAAGCCGGAGACATTGATCACATGTCGGACGATCTCCAGTGGCTAAGCCTCTATACAAGTACCTATGACCATATAACAACCTCTTAAGGACAGAACATGGTTGTGGAAGCATCAAACCTTAAATATCATCATTATCTATTTCAGGAACTAAACAATTAGAAAGTGAACTTCCTCATTTCATGTCTATTTTTAACTTTCTTACAAATCCCAATGCCTAGAACTAAAAAGTAAATCGAAAATTGTTGTTTCAGATAAACTAGAGATCCATCCACCATAGTTCCAATTTCCAACTTTTAAATAACTTTTTCAATTCTGTTCAAACATATGACAGCCTTCGAGTAACAAATTGTTCAGAAATAAAATAAGAAAAATTGTAATGGCATCATATAATAAAATAAATTTATTTTTTCTATGTCCACCATCATTATGAACAGTGAGTACGGAGCGAGAAATGGCACAACATAGACCCAGCCGCACCAACTATTAATGTTCAATCTCATACAGAGGTCTCACTATAAAATATGACCACTTATATCTTCAAAGTAACAAATAGTAAAGCATGATTCAAAATGTATGTGCATATTTCTTTCTCATGTGCATATGCTATTCTAGAATTTAAAGTTTGCAATGTTCGAAGAACAAGTTCCTCAAACCCACTTCACAAGTGTTGTGTTCTAATGCACAGTTCACAAAACCCCTGAATTCCTGACTAATAACAATAATGATATCAGTCAAGTTCGTCAAGCCGACCATCCCAGAGATGACAGCTAAGAGAGTAACAGGTAGCTAACAAAATTAAAGAACAACTTTGACAATGTTAGGCCAAAAGCTCTCATTGAAGTCTCCACTTGAAGCATTATAACTAAATAAAAAAGGGTGGCCCGGTGCACGAGGCTTCCACCTGGTGGGATATAGGTATGGTAGATGAATACAGCCTTACCCTCGCAAATGAAGAGGTCGTTTCCAAGATTTGAACCCATAACCTCCAGGTCACAAGGCAAGCAACCTTACCGTTGTGCCGAGGCTTACTCTCTTACAACATTATATCTCAATGCCAAGATTAATTGATAATTTCTTTGAATTAACTGCACCTGGAAACAACAGATTTTACCCTATAGGAATCAGAATGAGAGAATGATCCAAGCCTGCAGTATACTGATATTCAATGATTTTACCCTATAAGATCTTTGAAGATGCAAGGGAGAAGAAAAGAGTCTGATTAAGGATTATCATAGCCATTTTTACCTATTGGGATATTGTTAAGGGAGTTATGTTAATGGTTTTTCACGAGCTCTATATCAATGGTAAGATTGGTTTTCACATAGTTCTGCTTTCATTACTTCGGTTCCTGAAAAAGATCATTAAGCTAACATTAAGGATTTACACCTATCACATTGGTCACTAGCATTAATAAGACCCAAGAAAAGGTTTGATCATTATGGGGTTGAGCAAAGTTCAACGAGACTCAAATATCCTTCACTCAAAGCATTTTTTGCCGACGGTAGAAATATTCTAGATGCAGCTCTTGTGGCTAATATTTTTGTTGAGAATATTAGCCACAGGAAGACAGACTTACTTTTCAAGTTGGACTTCCAACTATTTAGTTACGGTAAATGGTCCAACCAGAAGCTAGAACTTGGTTTTTAGGCAGCAGTATTTGACAAGTTGTCCCTCTACTGGTTTTTAGGCAGAAAGTAATGAATGTTCAGTCATTTGTTAAATGAAAGTTCGGGAGTGAGGTTCTGTAATACTACTTTTGGAGGGATCAGAGAGAGGAGCTGTGTTACAAATATGGGTACGTGGTACATACCAGGTATGAGGTTCGACATTTTCTCAAAAACTAGAGTACGAGTACATTGAAAGAATAAGGTATACATGCAGCTATGTTGCATGACTACATGTATGGTAACAGTAACTATTTAGTATTATGTGATGACTTGAGTATGTATTTATGTGAAATGTGAAGACGAGGGACTAATCATGTGACTCATTTAGTATTGTTATTTAACCAAGAAGAAAGATGGAAAAAATCCTATTATTTTTTCAAAATGACACAATTTTGAAACAATTCACATCAAATGAGCACCCATGAGTATGGGTAATCGGTATGTACCCGATACCGGTACTTCAGGTTCTTTGAAGTACCCATGCAACATAGGTTAGGATCAGAGGACGTATCCTTTTTGTGGTGTGCAGACAATACTGTTGCTTTTCTACCAAGACAAATTTTCAGAAAGGTCTTGTCTTTGTGTAAGGTTTTAGAGACGGTTTATGGTCTGCATATTAATCTGGCTATGAATGGTCCAATTGCATATTAGCCTTGTGTGGTAATCCTTTCTATTACAAGTCTTTTTTTAAAGTTCATGTCAGGTGGCTCAAAATTATAAGTCTCAATTTCTGGTCAAGTGCTGCCAATCATGTGTCCTAGCACAGGCATGAAACATACCTAGAAACTCTTCAAGTATGAAAAGTAGTGATGTGGGTTTAACTCAGAATGTTACATGTTAAAAATACCTAGCAACATACCTAGCAATATACCTAGCAACATACCTAGCAGCTCTTAGCGAAGTTGTCGATTTAACTCAGAATGTTAAATGTTAAAAATGAAGTAACATGTAAAAGGTGAACCGAAAAAGTAAAATTGAGTACTCACTTCATTAGAATATCATAGTACTCGGGATCCAATGAAGAAAGCACACCATCCACATCCTTTATAGCCATTATAGCTCTATGCACCACGAGCCAGTGTGCAGACTGCAAAATAAAAACCGAAAATACATGGACAAATAAGCTGCAAGTTCAACAAATAAGTAACATTGAATCCAAATAATCTAAACTGACACACAGAAAAATCTAGTTTTTAATTGGTGGTTGAAAAAAGCTTAATGAAAATCAACATAAAAAATCACATTGTTTCAGTTCCTTATCACATATAGAGTTCGTTAATGTAAAAAGTGACGAACTGCATACAATCTATCAGGTAACTATGAATCAAATATATGCACGAAATACTATTAAAGGTCCATTTGTTAGGCTTAAAAAAGTGATTCTAAGATAGTAAAAAGTGATTTTACATTAAAATGAAATTTCAGCTTTTTTTGAAGTTAAACTAAAAATTAAAAGCCAAATAAACAAACAGCATATAATAGTGTAATGAAAAAGCTTATAAGGGAGGATCTGAAAAATGAAAGGCATTAGATTAGGGATATAGAAGGTGTGAATGATAAGGGTAAAAAGGGAAAAAAGGAACCTTGCAACGTTCATCACCGGTCATGGCCTGTGTGCCTTCAAGAGCAGTTTTAAGGGCTTCCACCGGTTTATACCTAACATTGATAAAAGGGCATAATAATCATATAATGGGGTGTTTCGGCCGAAGCACTAGACCAACGCGTTGTTGATATAATTATCGAGAAGAAAAAGAGTAGTAGTACTGACTGTTTGAGTAAAGATTCGATCTTGTGGGATTTGTGTTCAATTGTGGTGATA